ACACAACTAAATCTGATCATAATTTAGATTTTGATTCTGTGAAGATTTTAAAATATATTCATAATAAAAATCTTAGACGGATTTATGAGGCAGGCATAATATCTATCTCACGCACAGTGAACACTAGACCCGGCTTCTTTAATATTTCCCCTTTTCTAGCAAGATTAATGCTCGACAAACGTACATATAAGTTTTAGATCAAAATAAAATTCTTTTCATTTTTCATTCAAAATACTCTATTTTAGGAATACATTTTCACAACATCGCCCACGTGACGCCGACGTGATCATATTGAAACGGAACGCTGATCTTGAAAAATTTCAGTTATCTGTTTTGATCAGTGTTAATCTTATGTCCATCGTCTTTTCATGTTGAATTGAATATAGTCTAATGTTATTTATGTTTTAATATGTCCTGAAGATGGTCTACTAGACCGAAACGTCCGACGTTGACATTATATTAACATTAAAACAGCATAATTGCATATTAGGATTTTTGTTTGTTTTTTCCGTATATTTTTCTTCATACTGTCGGATCTATATTCATATATTTGCTTACTATCTATCTATCTATCTATCTATCTATTGATATATCTAGCTCATTCATATCTATCTATGTATCCAAGTTTATTCATATCTATCTATCTATCTATCTATCTATCTATCTATCTATCTATCTCATTCATATATATCTATCTATCCAAGTCTATTCATATCTATCTATCTATCTATCTATCTAGCTCATTCATATCTATCTATCTATCCAAGTTTATTCATATCTATCTATCTATCTACCTATCTAAGTCTATTCATATCTATCTATCTATCTATCTATCTATCTATCTATCTATCTATCTATACAAGTCTATTCATATCTATCTATTGAGATATCTAGCTCATTCATATCTATGTATCCAAGTTTATTCATATCTATCTATCTATCTATCTATCTATCTATCTATCTATCTATCTATCCAAAAAATTCATATCTATCTATCTATCTATCTATCTATCTATCTATCTATCTATCTAAGTCTATTCATATCTATTTATCTAAGTTTAGTCATATCTATCTATCTATCTATCTATCTATCTATCTATCTATCTATCTATCTATCCAAGTCTATTCATATCTATCTATCTATCTATCTATCTATCTATCTATCTATCTATCTAATACAATTAAATGAAATACGTGAAAATTGTGAGAAATTCACGAACATTTCAGGAAACTTGATGGAGTAATGGATAGCTGCTCCCATCGAGGAATAAGAGAGCCGAGTTCGAATTCCAGTCTAGTTCATTACATTCACATGCGTGCTAATACGTTTGGGAAAAGTCTGAATCAATCTCCTTCTCCCGACACTATGGGTAAAAAACTGTAAGGCTGGGTTCTATAGCTTGGACTGGCGAAGGAGAAGGAAAACTTTGACAACAAACCCGCCTGGATGGGGGAACCAAGAAACACCCTTGCTACTCTGGCTGCAGTACATGTAGTGCCCCCACGAATTTAGTGCGTTACGTAGGTTAGCAGAAATTCTGCGAGAAAGCCCTCAACAGAATCGACAAATTATCATTGACTTATCTGATTGACCGACTCCAGATTTTCTCGTCTACTGAAATTAAGAGATTTGATAATAATTTCGATTTCTTGAAGAGGCAATAAAATAAAAATGGACAGTTAAATAGGAATAGACAATAAATGTCTTACATATTTATAGTTTTGAAAACAGGCTATAGCGATTCGACTGTATCCCTTTCGCGTATGAACACTGTTTCTGTTTTGTGAATATTTTTTCTTTGTCTTATAGTTATTCTGTTTTGTCTTGCATTATATTGTCTTTTATTATTTTGCCATGTTCTTCTGATTATTATTGAGAATTTCTTCACTTCCGACTATGTTCGCTTCTTCTACACTATAAAGTGGAACAGGTCAAGTCTGCCTCGATGAGAGTTTAAAATTGAAAGCGCTATAAAAAAAAATGAAATACTATAAAAAATGCAATGCTTTATTTCATGACTTCCTGCTTATTAACAGTACAAATTCCGAAACAACACTTCATCGTCTATCATAATTCAATTTTTCTTTCAACCGCAATACTTCTCTTAATTCCGCTTTCGTCTTTTTTTTTTTTTTTCTTCCGTTATGACGCCAAATATTTTCCTCACTCTAACTTCTTCCATATTAAATCCCTTTTCTTACCAATTCAATCACTTCCCAACGTCTTTTCGACCTTCTTCTTCGCCCGGGGATGTCGAAGGAAATTTTTCAAATCGCGCCAAATGACATTACCCACAATTCCACAAAACCCTTCACTTGACATTCGGCGACACGAAATCGATAATTTAGTTTTGGCAAATTGTTTTAAACATCCTTTTCTAGTGTTTGTTGTTTTTGTTAATTTTTTATTTTTTTTATTTTATGTTGACTTCTTTGTTGTTTTTATATATATATATATTTGCCAGAGCACTGACAAAGAACGACTGAATTGATGTGGGAG